GAAAATTGCCAGGGAAATATAATATTTTAATTTGCCGAGATGCGCAGCCGTCAGTCTGTCCCGTTAGAAAAATACCTATAGGTATGCGAGATAAATTACACAACGAATTAAATCGTATGGAGAGTTTAGGCGTAATAAGAAAGGTCACCCACCCTACTTCATGGGTGAATGCTATAGTAGTTGCGGTCAAGAAAGATGGTAGTATTCGTGTGTGCCTTGATCCGCGCCCATTGAATCGTGTAGTGCGTCGCGCACACTATCCGTTGCCGACATTAACCGATATTGCAACTAAGTTAGAAGGAGCGCAGTATTTTAGTAAGCTAGATGCTCGCTCTGGCTTTTGGATGGTAGAGCTTAATGATGAGAGTGCCGACCTATGTACTTTCGGAACACCGTTTGTAAGATACCAATTTTTACGTCTTACTTACGGTATAAATTGCGCATCGGAGGTTTTCATGCCAAGGTCCGCCAAATACTAGAAGGTCTCGAAGGTGTAGAGTTATTCGTAGTTGATATTTTGGTTTGGGCCCCCACACTCTCCCTCCACAACGAAGGTTGAGACTAGTACTAGATAGGGCACGTCAAGCTGGAATAAAATTTAATAAAGAAAAGTGCGAGTTTTGTATAAGGAGTGTGACTTATTTAGGTCACACCTTCAGCGGAAATGGTATGCAGATAGATAATATAAAATTAAAAGCTGTTCGTGACATGCCATTACCACACGACAGACCCTCCTTAGAGCGCTTTTTAGGTATGGTTAATTATTTATCAAAATTCATACCTCATTATTCGGAATTAGCATTACCACTTCGTTCGCTTTTAAAGAAAGACACAATTTGGTATTGGGATGAAACACACGATCAAGCGGTACGAAATTTAAAAGACTCAGTGTGCGACGCGCCCGTTTTGGCGTTGTTTTCTGCTAACGAACCGGTTTTAGTCTTAGATTAAAACAAAAAGGGTAGATACGGCACTAGCCTCACAAAAGTGATCCGCACAAATTGTGGTCCACGACCCCGATCGCTTTAGTCACAACTGGACATGCAAACGACGTACATGTGAACGCCAAAAAGAAATATTGATAATATTTTGTGTTTATATGCTAAAACAAAGCCTAAGTATGTTTTTAAAAAGTGCTCAAATTGCTCAAGAACTAAAAATAAAACCCACGGCATCACTTTTCATTCGTAAGTACTATAAAATATATTTTTGCATAAAAATTGCTGTTTGTTGAATCTTATTCGGTAGTGACGTCGAGTAGGTACTGGTCGCGTGATTGGTCGGTAGTGCAGTGACGCGGATCTCGCCGTCTCGTTCGCGCTGCCGTTGAAACTTAACGTGCTGTTTCGCTCGGGTCGGTAATGCAGTGACGCGGAACTCGCCGTCCCGTTCGCGCTGCCGTGGGATCAGTTCTTGTTTGATGCAAGTATGAGAGTACCGTATCTACCCTTTTTGTTTTAATCTAAGGTTTTAATATTAGTGGATGCCAGCTCGCGCGCGCTCTTCGCGGTGTTCCTGCAGGCTGGCCGGCCAGTCGAGTATGCTTCCGCTACGCTAACAGACGCACAGTGTAGATACGCTCAAATTGAAAAGGAGCTCCTTGCCATTGTGTATGCGTTGGAACGTTTTCACCAGTATGTATATGGTAGGAAAGACGTTACCGTGGAAACCGACCATAAACCATTAAAGGCGTTATTTAAAAAAACATTGGATTCTGTTCCTGCACGATTGCAACGTATGATGTTACGTATTCAATGTTACGATTTTTGTGCTGTTTATAAGCCGGGTAAATTTATGTATGTGACAGATGCATTGTCACGGGCTCCACTGCCCGATAAGATGTAAGAAAAAAATTGTGACGAAGTTATTGAACAATCTTGTTTTTTACTAGAAAATGTCAGATTTGGCGATGCGAAACTTAATTTAATAAAAGAGGCAATTCGTAAAGATATTGAATGTCAGTTAATAATAGGATATATAAAGAACGGATGGCCAAACAATAAATATAAAGTTAATGAAAAAGTGCTTAGACAGTGGTCATATAGGGAATCTTTTGAATTTGTATAATACCTAATTTTTAAGGACAATTTAGTTTATATACCACAAAAAATAAGAACTGAAATGGTAAGTCGAGTTCATGATGGCCATTTGGGTATAGATAGGTGCAAACGTCATGCACGTGAAGTTATGTTTTGGCCCGGGATGTCGCGAGACATCGAGCAGGCTGTGCGCCGCTGCGCCATCTGTACAGAGTGCGCGCCGCGCCCCGCTCGTCAACCGCTACACCCTCATGTATACCCAATGTACCTTGGGCGAAAGTAGGCTCCGATATATTTCGGTATAATAAAAACTATTATCTCATACTAGTTGATTAATTTTCTAACTACATTGAAGTGAATCCGTTGAAAGCTATAAACAGTAAATCGGTAATAGTAACTATGAAAGACCAATTTGCGAGACACGGCATACCCAAGGAATTGATTACTGATAACGGACCAGCATATGCGTCGAAAGAATTTAAGGAATTCAGTAAACAGTGGTGTTTTCATCATATAACTACAGCTCCAAACTATCCCCAATCTAACGGTAGAAGTGAGAAAGCCGTACACATTATAAAAAATATGCTAATTAAGTCAGTTTCTTCAGGTACGGATTTTTATCTAGGTTTACTTAACTTTAGATCAACGCCAAGGGATGTTATCCGATCACCGTCACAACTGCTTATGGGGCGTAGGCTCAATACTAGGCTGCCATCACACGAAAATAAATTGTTGCCTAGCCATAAGAACACCGTGGATTACGAGTCTATACTGCACAAACAAGTAATGACTAAGAAATATTATGATAAACGATCAAGGTCGTTACCCGAGCTGGTACCGGGACAACGGGCGGTGATGGTAGATGATAGGGATCGTAAGAGGGTGTGTGTGCAGTCGCGGGCACCGCAACCTCGTTCATACTTTGTTGTAAACGCGACGGGGAGACGGTACTGACGGAATAGGCAGCATCTAATTAGGGATCATTCAGTGACCCGTCTAAACACAGGTGATAAAGTTAAGGAAGAAAATGTAAATCGGCATGTAAAACAACAGTCAAATACTGACAGAGATAATGTGCAGGAAAACAAACCTATTAGCATGCATGAAAGTGAAGTAGGAATACCATCCCTAGGCGCAAGTACTGATACAGAAAAGATGCAAAGACCGGCAGCTGCGGCAGCTCGCGTAAATATAAATAAGTTTTTTAATAAATAAAAAATAAAAGATATAAGTAATATTAAAAAGTATTTTTTTCCTATGTAAAATATGAATTTAAAGTTCTATCATTAATACTCCATCAAACATAATGAATCTGTCAAAGTTTGATCTTTCAATGAATTTGATCAACATTTTAATTTGTATAACTCACTCCAATTAGGTATTGTTACCAAAGACCAAGATTTCTGTTAAGTATATTGAATTTCATTCCATATTCAGAACATAAGAACAACAATAATATTAAGAAGAAATGTTAGCATGTTTTAATGTAATATATATATATATATATATTATTATTAATGTAATTGTATGCTATTTTATAATGTTCAATTATAAAATGAATTATTCAAGTGAATAAACTTTAATGTAAGTAAAGTATATATATATATACTAGCTGACCCAGCGAACTTCGTACCGCCCTAAAAAAATAGGGGTTGTCCAGCGGACAAAATTGTGAATCTAAACCATTCTGAGATCCCCTTGAACACACACAAAAAAATTCATCAAAATCGGTCCAGTCGTTTAAGAGAAGTTCAGTGACATACACACTCACAGAAGAATTATATATATAAAGACTAGCTGACCCAGCGAACTTCGTACCGCCCTAAAAAAATAGGGGTTGTCCAGCGGACAAAATTGTGAATCTAAACCATTCTGAGATCCCCTTGAACACACACAAAAAAATTCATCAAAATCGGTCCAGTCGTTTAAGAGAAGTTCAGTGACATACACACTCACAGAAGAATTATATATATAAAGATATATATATATAAAAAGAGGATGATGTTGTGGTGATTATAATGTAGGTATTTCTATAGTATGAATATATTTTATGTGGGTAAGAAAATAATAAAGGAGTCAGTCTTGATCTAAACAGTGTTTCATTCACAGCAACTGTAAATCCTCGACATTTTGTACTAAGAAGAACCAACATTGGTGTCGATTCTGTCAGGATTCTCTAAACTTAAAACTAAATTTAACATCAATCTCTCCTTTTCATTCTGTATAGAGAATGACAAGGATACACTGTTGTCAAATTTAAGTTTAGGTTTAGAGAATCATGTCAGAGTCGACACCAATGTCTTTTTTTCTACCTATGCCAAATAACACACTTTAATAGTGTAAAGTGCTGCTTTCCTTAAAGCTCCCATTTCTGCAAAATCCGAAAAAAAAAATTATTTAAGTAAAAGTAAAAATAAATGTATGGAGCTTAATGTCAAAATTTACGTAATTTTTTTGGAACGTAGCCGTAATGTCATTGTCAATGTCATTTTTACTGTCAGTCTTTTGGCTGTATGGATTTCATCCAAGGCCGTTAAACTATTAAAAAAAACTGGTTTTTGGGCGGTTGGCGTCTTATTTTAATTATTCTTAAATTTGTTCATAGTGGATATTGTGAAATAAAATTGGTGTGATTTTGTGTTACAACCATCTGCGCAACTGAAGAATTAGTGGAATCTTTAAAATATACGCTATTCCAGTCAAGTGGACGTGAGAATTTTATTGTAGTATTGACTACCTCATAGAAGCTTATCGAGAAAGCCAGCTCGATACATTTCGTGCCAAACACTTCAAGAAACATTAAAATGCGTCACACCGACATTCTAATGTAAAAAGAAAAACAGAATAATTTAACTTAAGACTAGGCTGTATGGGCATTGTTCCCCTTGCCTTCCCTGAAAAGGGAGAACTTACCGAATAAAAAAAAAAAACTGTATACGTAGTATCTCTAACTAGTCTGTGGTCTCAATCTGACAATCACGACAATACGGTGGTGTTTTTACTTAGATTTTTACTTTAAATAATATCATTTAATTAACTTTTTGTATATCTTTCGCCTTTTAACGTGGGACTTTCGTACAATCATTTATTTAAAAATAATTTATTTACTAACCTAGTCATTATGGCTAATATACCACATAATACATTTTCTTTTCCTTTCAAAGACATATTAGTTGATGAAATTGCTCTAGAGGGTTTAGAAGGAATTGGCATTAATCTTCTATGGAAAAGAATTGAAAAACGTATTTCCACATCAGTTACAGAGAAAATGCAAAGACGGTTATGGAATATTATACTTAAGTTTGACAGTATATATTTGTATGAAAATCCAGAACCCGTACCACATTTAGATATTATTGATAGATTCACAATAGTTGACGATGCTAATGGTGACTTACGAGAACCGGTAAGTAGTAGCACAAAAAGCAGTATTAAGCCAGGTCGCCTGTGCCAATTTTCTAACAAAACATGTAATTGAAACAAGTTTTAACCAATCGCTCTTAACAAAACTTTTACGCCACGCCCCTAATTAGTTAGCAACCAATGTAATAATGTTAGCAAACATGATAATATAGTGCAGGAGACCCAGCTATAGTCTATTATTTTCTATTTACTTCCAGGATGATTACCTAGATGGTCCCTATGAGTACCAACCAGTAGATTGTGATAATGGATCAAGTGTGCATTATAAGAGAAGAGTGCTTCTGGATAAAGATATTTTATCAAAAATGGATTATAAAGAGGTTCTTTCAACATATAATAATACTTTAGTGCTTGTTGCATCGAAAGAAGAACGATGGGGAGCTTTAGTTCCACACTTGCCTATGTCACATGCAGAAAAACTTACAAAATTGCACTATTGCATTCTCGAGCTAATAGGTAAATCAAGAGCAAATGTGAGTATACTTGTTTCTTATGAATTTTCTACTTATGCTTTGATTTTTGATATGAAAATATACTTAATACAATTTCAAATTGACTGAATGAAGGTTCTATTGAATCCAATATTTTAATTATTATTATTTTCAAATCTGTTCAGCGGTTCTAGAAATTATTACCTACAATTATCTTCATTTAAAATAAGACATTTTTTATTCGTAATTATTCCTTTTAGGGGCAAATGACTGTTGGCAAAACTAATTTAGCAAAATTAGTTAAAGATCCTAAACTATTGTTCTACAACAGAAAAGTACTACAAGAATTGGACCTGGTGAGAGTTTCACACATTAACCAATGGGTTCCCACCAGGAGAGGGACAAAAGTAATTCTACTGAGACTAAGGAGGTTCCATCAAAGCGTTATATGCAGCATACCTAAAACTGGTTGGATTTATAACCTAGTGCAGTATTTAAAAGACCAACCAAATTATTGTGAATCTACTGCAGTTGTTTTAAAGAAAGGTTTAATAACACGAAAGCATAACAAAAGATTCCAAAAAATCTCCTATATATTTGGTTTTGTAAGTATTTTCTTTTCTTTATTATAATTTGAATAATTAGGCATCACTCTTTTTGAGCAATATAACAGCACACAAATTCTTTCTGATGACTACTTCTATATTAAAATAGGCTATCTGTAAGTCAAATAGCTTTCATTGTTAGAGGCTAATAACTTCTGAAAGTGAAACAGTAATCTAACAGATTAGGTAAAACTGCCGAAACAAATCAGCTTTCCTCCACAGAGGCAAGCCTTATTTTCTACTATAATTATAATATTAAATATTTATAATATTAGTAGAAAATAAGGCGACTTAAAGGATTTCATGAAATGCTACACCATTGCTAGGTGATATTAGATTTGATGTGGTATTCACCCTTCTCTTGTGTTTTGTGTGTTTGTAGTTGTAATTTTTGTATTTATGATCAATAAAATGTTTCTCACTTTCTCTCTCTTCTACCCCTTACCGCCAAAATGTTATAATATTCTAAACACATTTTATTTCCTAGGACGACCAACCTATTAAAATAAATGAAATTGCAATGCCAAACAAAAGGGCAAAGACACAAAATAGACGGCGCTACATTTATTTGTACTCTATTACTGATGATGAACATACTGAATCTGAGGATGAGGAGCAGAAATCACCGATGAAATGTCAATATAAAGTTGGTATAAATCTCCTAAGACAAGCCTATGAAAGATTTCTAGAAGCTGGGCTTAAAGGCTTAACTCAAATAGAATTAGGAGAACTTTTGGGTATCGAGTTTTATATAAGCAGAACAATTTGCAGAATTTTTAGGGCTAAAAATATTGTCAGAGAATTTTTGGAAGATAAAGGTCGACAAAGAACGGCAAGGTTAATATATAATGTTTTAAAACAATACCAAACAATGATAATAATGATTACTTACAGATTGTTATTATTTTTAGATTCATTGCTGTTGCTGCTACTGCAAAGATAGATAATCAATATGCAGAAGAAAAGGAAAAGTTTCTGAAATATGTTGCTGAATTTACAAAAATTAACAATGAGGAAACTGCCTCTAATTTAGAATCTGAGACAGAAGTGCCCCGAAAAAGAATAAAAATTGAGGATAATCCTGAATATGAGAAATACGTTTTTGAAATAAAAAATATTCAAGGCATTCCAACTCTTCCAAATCCACTATCAGAATCCACTAAAAAATTAACTCTTAAGCAATTGAAATTTGCAACTGCAGTGCTAAAAGTTATTAGAGATAATCAGGTTATAGTAAATTTTTTTGGGTTGTCTAAACTCTTAGCTTTAGAAACCAAACAAAGACCTATGGACACAAAACCTTTGAAAATATTTCTGCAGAGACTGGTTTTAGATGGCTGTGTTAAAATTTTTGGAATTAAATGGCCTGGTTACCAAGACAAATATACCGTTTTAATCTGTGCTCCACATATTAAACCATCACACCCTATGATAGTGAATAAATATAAAGAAATTGCCAGCAATTCTAAACGAATTTTAGCGCAAAATAAGAGTAGATATAAACCATTAAAACCATTGACTGAGTATTCTTATCCTCGTTATGTTAAACTCCAAAAACTCCATGAAGCTATGGTAAAATATGCTTATTTGGATGATTTAAAATCTGAACCAAGTGAATTATCCGAGGGATTCGTCTATATAAAAGACTTAATACCTGAATTAACCCTAGAACTTGCATTAGGTACTATAAACAGTGCTGGTATTTTGAAACTCTCCAAATTTAATATAGATGAAGATCTTCTTAAAACAAAACTTTGTGAGGTGCCAGTGGAACTTAATAAAGCTCTAACAAATTCAAGTTATTTGGAAAAATCTATACGAACTAATTTAAAAGCACTGGCTATGTTTGGCCTCGTCCAGCTTATTGCACTAGCTGCTCCTAAAGATGTCACCATTCCAGACAATTGTCTTGATATTCACTTATTCTATGTTAACAAAAATGCTGCGATACTAGACACATCAGGTATATGGCCAAAAAGAAATATGTGTAATCAAAATTATGAAAAAAAGTTTCGTTTCGACACTTTTGAAGATGTTAAAGACTATTGGAGTACAGTATATAACATAAGTACTAGTACTACAATTGAAACTCCTAATCGAAGACAAAGGAAGCTACCTTCCATACCAATACGAGCGCAATCTGAAGTAGATGAATATGATAAAGGATTAAGATTGGGAAATAATTTAGGTCCATGTGGATTTCACTCTAGCTTTTTCTTAGATATGCCACGATTATGGAAGACCTATAGCGCGAGAACTAGTCATTTTCCCCCACGCAAACAAATTAAAAAAGTAATAAGAATTCCTAGATTTGAGAAAACCCAAAAAAAATTGACAAAAATTCAAAAGAGAACAATACGAAAACCAAATTTTATCGAAAAACTGCCTAGCATAAAAACCAAATTATTGAAGCAAGCAATATTAAAACAATCCTTGGTTAGAAGAAGAAAAGATTTAGACAATACGGTTTGGTCACGAGAAGACGACAGAATTGTAATGTTATGTAAAACTGCTATAACTATTATGAGCCCTATATCACAACCTGGTTGCCTACTTGTAAGAAATTTAGTTACTAAAGATATATTATCGCTCAAAGATCCGAAAAAAAGCCAAAAGATTTGCCATAAAAGAGCAGCAATTGTTGATACCAATGCTACATTAATACATCTAAGAGACAGCATTATGGCTGAACTTAAATATCACAGTGCCATACTACATAAATATGAAGGCATATTAAAAAAGATAAGACTAATGAACTCCAATAGTAATCCTACTCAATATATACAGGCAGCTAGAGTACCAATGATGGAATTAGTTTGGGTTTTAATGGACGTGTTAAAAATTTGTTCAACTAAACAAAATGTTCCCGTTTTTACAAGTTTAGAAGAATTATACAAAAAATTCACAGTTGTTCCATCGTCTGAAAACCGACCTAGCAACTCATATAAAACAGCACCTGATGATGTTTTACTAGGGCCACTAAAAGAAGCTATCATGTTAACTGTCATGTTATCATTTGATAATGAATTGACAAAAGAGAATGCTCTAAAAATTTATCATAATTTCAAGCGTTTCGATGAAAAGGTTTTGCGAAAAGCTGTATCACAACTGAGGCAATGTGGAGCCATAACAGCTAAAGGAAAGATACTAAGTGGTATCCTACACAAAATAAATTTAGATGATTTAGTAGATTGCTGGTACAAAATATCTGCGCAGTACCAACGCAAGTGGATGGTAAGGCTCAATTCTGAATTTGTAGATGACCTGGGCAACTGTTTTGATAAATCAATCATCCAAGATGATCTTAAAGGTTCTCCAGATATAAACTGCTTTTCGTGCGAGTTATATGCGATGGGTGTAGTGGACATGATCATACTGATTGCGCCTGTTATATCTGGATTCACAGGATCCATAATACAAGAGGATCAGCTTAATGTAATAGATATAGAATCGAGATATAAATTAAAATCGGGCACAATAATCTGGAAAATTGAAAACAACATAGGACACTTTAATGATATTTACAAAGGCATAGATATAGAAGCCCCTTTACAGGATATTCTAAGGTAAAAAACTATATTCCCTTTGGTTCTATTCTACGTAATTTTTTTTTATTGTTTCCATTGATGTATCCTTAGCACGAACCGATATCGAATTCGAATAGTCAAATTCGCATAATTACACATCAAATGACAAGCAGTTTTGTATGGAAATATAACCAACGCCATAACGGACATAACGAGAATTAAAAATCTTCCATACAAAACTTCGTCACATTTGACGCGTATCGCGATCGAATTTAACTATTCGAATTAGATATTGGTTCATGCTAAGGGTAGGGTTAAAAGTGCAGACTAAACTAATGTAATCCAATCGGCATAAAATTAACTGAGCATGTAAAAAGAAATACTTAGGGGGCTTCCATAAAGTACCTCACACTAATTTCGTGATATTAGAAAATATAATTAATTATGTCAGGGTTCGGTTATGGTCCCGCTACACGCTTCGTCCTGTCTGCGAGCAAGCCTAACCAGTTTGCGCAGTTAAACAGCTATTGCACTACCCAATTTCAAGGGTCCTATCGAAAGGGTGGGCGTGTCCCCAAGCTTGGGTAGCAGAACTTAGGTACATGTCATATAATAAGATCCCAAGACTGCCAGACCTCAATTATTTTTTCATCGACGAAATATGGATTATCGAGTAGTATTAGTGTGTACAACGAACGTTAATTTGTGCTGTGTGCCAAATTTCACGAATCAGGTGGTACAGGCACGTAAAAATTTTACTCACTTATAGTCTGGGGACTGATTATTACGTATGTTGTAGATAATATTGTAAACAATTTGAAATTAATACTACCTGACACATTCTGTTCGCAGTATTTATTGCCAGACACTTTAAATGTCGAGAGCATAAACCACAAAACTAACTTACAGTCTGAGACCTGATATTTATCTATGATATTTAGGGGGCTATTATTATATTTTGTAAGCTGCCGGTCAAAACTTCGGCGCCGAAAATTCCCTAAGCTTAGTTGAACTGCCACTGTGAGGACAGGCGCGATCATGCTTATTAAGTGTCCTTTTAATACAGCTTCATTAAAGTTATGTAACAAATAGGGTACAGGAAGCCTTTTACAATAATGAAATAACTTCTTATAATCTAATTATCAAAATTACTTCAGACGATAAGCAAGTTTGTGTTTTTTGCTTTAGACATTAACAGTGTCTGGCAATAAATACTGCGAACAGAATGTGTCAGGCAGTATTATTTTGAAATTGTTTACAATATTCTCTACAACATACGTAATAATCAGTCCCCAGACTGTATGTAAAGTGAGTAAAATTTTTACGTGCCTGCGCCACCTGATTCGTGAAAATTGGCCTACAGCACCAGTTAGCAAGTATGTATACGTTCGTTGTACATACTAATACTACTCGATAATCCATATTTCGTCCATGACAAAATAAGTGAGGTCCAGCAGTCTTGGGCTCCTGTACTATCAGTGGTTATGCCTACAAAAAGCGTGCTTTTGGTCTGCCTTCTCGCTGCTAGCACAGTCTATTACACTGTGTTTATAATAGCGCTGAACTAAACTTTATGTGCCGCCATAAAGTTTAGTTCAGCCCCACGAATTAGAAAATATGGAATATGGACTGCACTAAAAAATGGTTCCACGCAAAGTAAATGCCAAAAAACAATGTGATCAACACGCCGATCATAGGATTGGTTGGCATTTAAGTTTAACATTATCTTACCCAATGAATGGTTAGTCGAATTAAATTGCAGATATTTGATTCTTCAAATTATTTTATTTTAGTTTAGTTGTATGAGTTTGGAACCATGTTTTAGCGGCGTTTGTTTGCTTGAGTAATGCATCCCTAAATCATTTCTAATTCGATGATTCAGCCAATACAAATAGCAGTGTGAAGTGCCAGTACTTCTTTACTTATGTGCGGTGGTGGACGCCTTATTACCTCCATTTTTTTGTAATAATATATAAGGAAAATCGGGAATAAGTACTTTGTCATAATATTAAAAGGGTCGATTGTGGTGACAATAAAGTTATGAAACTTTTTTCGCAGGGAATCTGTGATAAAACGAGGTCAAAAACTTAAATCAAACTTCGATAAGCAGCTTACTGAAACGGAAAATACAATTGTTGCTTACCTAAAAATGAAACACGAACATGGAAGTAATTTCAGTGAATTAAAGGTAAGTATTTTCATCAAAATATTCACTATGTCACTTCTTTCTTCTGCTGTTAAGAGGACGGAGGCAGAAGGCAGGAGCACTTCATCGATTATTATTTAGCATTTGTTACTAACGGATGACTTAGTCCAACCACGTATTAGGTAGTTGCTAAGTAGTTTTATTCCTATCGGACTACCTGAATTCACCTGAATAGTCAATTAAATAGGAATATCTGTTCTTAAGTAGATAAATCATAAGTACACGAATTAAGTAACTATACCCGCTTTTTACTACAAGCAGAGTACATCCGTTAATGACTTATTATCTCAATATGACTCCGTTTAACTGAAAACCAAGTAGAGAGTATAAGTGCTTCCACAGATTATGGAAAAATGTGCGGAAATTTCATAGTGATATGCAAATCCTTTTTCACTCCATTCTAATCGTATTGTGTAGGTATATCTTAGTATTTTTAAGTAGAAGTACCTTATTAAACAAACATGTGAATTTAATGGGTGTGCATCAACGAATTAGAAATTACTTATATGAAATACGAACTGCGGTAAAAAGTGGTTCCAGTCATATTGCGATCATGGGCGGACGGGGCGAATAAATGCGATCAACACGCTGACTATGGGATTGGTTGGGATTGTCTTTTAACATTATCTTACCCAATGAATGGGTAGCCGAATTCATTTTCAGATATTTGATTCGTCAAACTATTTTATTTTGTCTGTGTTCTTGTCGCGCTAGTTTTGCAGTTAAGTTGTTTGAGTTTAGAACCATATTTTAGAGAGCAATGCAAAAATAAAAAGTGCTCAAATCAATCTCTGTCCCGATTTTTTAAGAAAAATAAAACTGCATCAGTTAACTTTAGTTTTATTTTTTATTTTTACAGGAAATCTGTGACCTAGGCACGGAATCTCTTATGAAGGGTCTTAGGAATCTGATCGCTAAGAATATCGTTAAACGTGTTGGTGTTTACGATAATATTTTCATCATGATGAACTACATCAAGAACTGGTCTATGGAAGTGGACAATTTTCATATACTCAGTAAGCCCTGGATTGGGATAGACGCTAAAATGAGAGAGGACATATTCTTAAAATGGGTTGGGGTAGTCATCAATAAAGTGTTTGAATGCCCAGGCAGCAATTTATGTTATTTATCGGACAATTGTGATTTCTTGAGTACAGCAGCTGTTCAAGATATATGTACAGTTCTAAGCCAATGGGGATGTGTCTCGTTGCATTGCATTTACGAGGAAGAACCAAATTTGTTTTCAGAAGACAATGATCCTGTTGAAATTGTCGATTATAATGAGTACGAGTCGCCACAAAACATTGTAGTGAAGCCTATGGTGGATTCTTTAGTAAGATACTCGTTTATAAGGAAAACTATTTTGAATAGTGTGTAGAAGTAAGTGCTATTTCCGCTTTAGATTTGGTTATTAGACAAGAAGAACAGTAAAATAGCAGTTAGCATATAGGCCGCATGCCGCCTACTTCGACAAAAATAATTGTATAAAAATTATTCAGATTCTAAAATACCCAGGACGAGTTTCTAAAATTAAGAAGACAGACAGGTAGAAAAGATGTCAAAACTGTTGAGAACCAAGATTTCTAATGTTTTATTTTATATAAAACTAGCTGTACCCTGCCACGCTTCGCAGTGGCACATTGTGATTGAGTGGTTGAGAAATGAGAAACAAAACAAAGAATACATTTCACATAAGTTTAATTTTGCAATAACAAATATTTTTGTAAATAAACAATGTAATTGGGAACGAAATTGTATCTCATGTGACTGCGTCATTACTATTGCGGTTGTCAGCGAGTGTTTTCCTCGCTTCTGGCAGATGGCGCGGTCACTGGTACACAGCTGATCGTTAAAAAAAACTGTTTTCTCGCGGTCGCAGATATGTGACTGATGCAAAAAATAGATAAAAACAATCCTTGATGCGGATTTTATATCATGTTAAAATTTCAACTCAATCGGTGCAGAACTTTTTGAGTTTTTGAAGCGTACACAAACCAACATAACATTTTTATATAAATAAATGTTTCGTTAAAATCTATTAGGGTTGATTCACACCGGAATGGCAGCGGTCGGTAGCGACGCGTCGCGGCGAGCACTTTTAGTGTGAATTAATTTTAAACTACATCCACATACATAAAGAATCTGTTTTATGGATTGTCTTTATTTTTAGAAAAATCATGGTGTTTAAACCTCTTTGTCTGGGGGAATAACGTTAACTATACACGTATGCTAATGTATTTCAATAACCTAATTTTGATTAAGCTAGTTCTCAAAACGATATCATACTTTTATATACTTAATTGTTAAAGTTACTTGTTAAAGCAACAATAAAGTAATGGTTGCAATAATAAACTACCTACTTGTTTCAATCTTTGTTCACACTAACCCTTTTTATTTCATTTAACAGTGATAAGAAATTTATTGGTCATCCATCATCCTCAGCAACTTAGGTATTAATCACTAACAACTGAATAAGCCGTAAGAAAGGCCCCTGCAATTTCCTATGGCTAACTGGCTTCTACTTACCACATGAACCTATTTCGGTTCGGATTTGTAGGTGCTGATGGCTGCCGCTATAACCGTGACAATCAGCTTCACGTATCTATCGTAATATGGAGAAGTCCGACTTTAACATTATTATTATGGTCAGCCATCCTATGATTTAGAGAGTTGCTTAACTTCCAAAACAGCAGACCGTAAATACTGACTTCTACACCATCTAACTTCTCCAAAAGATTGTAATCATCATTACCAATCAGCGGCGTAGTGTAATGGGGATAGCAGGGGCGGCCCGCTCCTGCCCCCCTAGCATGATCACCGCGATTTCATATGAGGGATAAACAATCAAAGTTGGTAAAGTCCACATTGCCAAAATGTTCAGTAAACGATAAAAACGATCATTTTAATAATTACAGCTAACTATTCTAATGTTAAACATTATTTATATGCAGAATGTAATACATTATGGTAGGGCTGCCATCCGTCCGGGTTTCCCCGGATTTGTCCTAGTTTACGGGGCGTCCGGGGAGCATCCGGGCGGGGATTCATTTGTAGTCCGGGTTTAAAAAAAATCCTGTTTTGGGTCGACAACTAATCCGTCAATTTAAATGTCTTTGAAAATAAATAAATCTTTTCTCTCTCAAAGATCAGCTCTGTCGCTCACGCTGTACGCAATAACAACATTCGTTGCTATGTGGATGACAGCACTGACACTTATTACACTGGTCGGTTAAACATCCCTCGGATGGAAGAAGGGTATAACGACAGACTTGTGTCCGAGATTGAGATGTTACTGGATCAAGTCTCAAATTGGAGCCAACTAAATTTGATTGCATTAACCCAGCAAAGACACAAGTGTGTGTGACCTTTTCGTTCAGAGCCGGCAACGCATGAGTGGGCCTTGGAGCTGCAAATGTCCACTGACCACTTATTATGAGGTAGACTACTAGTACTACTCTTTTGCCTACATCAACATAAAAAAAGTTTAATTTGTGACATTTTTAACTGTTTTTTTTATTGGTCTATCCGGGTTCTGGGCTCCAAAATCCGGGGTTATCACACATCTTGTCCTGGTTGCCACATTTTAGAGATGGCAGCCCTACATTATGGAAATACAAGTGTTCATCACATCACATACAGTTCAATACTTTTGAGTAAAACCTTAAGTATAAGATGGACTTTCCCAGTTATGTTACCAAGTTTTAGACTTTACTAAGTTTACTAACTAAATGTTCAGGACTTTCTTATATTTGTTACCACATCTCTGGACAGGGTTGGATTCATCAAAGGCGGCCATGACAGCTGTCAGCGAAATGGAGGTAAAGTAGCATCCACACGATACAATTTTACGTCCAATTTGATTAGATTGAGAATCGAATTGTGTTGTGTGGACGGAAATATGAAATTGAAGGTCATTGGATGGTCGGTATCGCCCGATTCGGGATTGCCCAATCAAATTGGATGGTGTGGACGCTAACTGGCCAATTTTTTAACGTAGTCACTGTGCAAGCGGCGTTCAGAGTGGGTGCGTGCGTTGACTTGTCTTTTGAGAAGAAGATGGAGCAACTGAACGGGAAGTAATGGAGGAGATTTTAGATATATTATAAGACTTGCCATGCCTTTGGGATGTGTCTAACCCATTATATAAAAATAAACAAGCAAGGCATAATTCCTTAGAGATTTTGCGGAATAAGTGGAAAAATATTACTGTTTTAATTTTTATTATTTTTAAAGCATGTAACTGCTTGATGTTTAAATCTAAAGAAAATATAACTAGAAAAAATTCCACGCGGACCAGGCAGTTATTTGTTATTGAAAATAAAAATTATTTAATTAAATTTATATTCTACTCAATGATATGCGCGCATGCTGGGGTAAAAAAGAAATAATATTATATATATATATATTTATAATTTTTATTTTTTAAGCATGTAATTGCTTGATGTTTAAATCTAATGAAAATATAACTAGAAAAAAATCCACGCGGACCAGGCAGCAGACGGGACTCGAACCCGCACCCTTCGCATTCTGGGCGAATACACTGACCAATTATGCTACCGCGGCCCTCACGGACCGCGTCGAAATTCTTCCAGCCATTCTTAACTTGCAAGGCAGCGCCATCTCTTCGCATTATAGGTAACCCACAATGTCAAATGAATACTTTTACAAGTATTAAACATTTGAAAAAAGAAATAGCAATTATAGTTATAATTTTTATTATTTTTAAAGCATGTAACTGCTTGATGTTTAAATCTAAATAACTCAGTTATATTTTAAAGGGTTCTCGAAGGGTGCGGGTTCGAGTCCCGTCTGCTGCCTGGTCCGCGTGGAATTTTTTCTAGTTATATTTTCTTTAAAAATATTACTCTTTAAGTATAACTATATTTAAGTTTATTAATTGAGTCACTTAATTATAATATAACTACATTTAAGTCCTCAATTGCTTTCTTTTTAATAACCATTGTTTTGTCCACAGTCTTCTTTTTCTTTTTTTCTCATCTACATTTGTAGTTAGAGCCAAGATTAATCCAATTTTTTGCTTCTTGGTAAGAGGCATCCTAATACAAACAAGTCCGTTCAGCAGAGGCAACAAATAAAACTGAAATTGGCGATCTTATTGTGTATGGGTGCGGCCAGAGTGCACTCAGATTCAGATTCCGAAAACAAACGCGAGAAATAAACAGTGTAGTCGAAGGGTACGGCCAGAGTGCACTCCTGATTCAGATTCAGATTCAGACTCAGAAAACAAAGCGCGAGAAAAAGCAGGCAACCTGCTTAGACTACACTGTTTATTTCTCGCGCTTGTTTTCGGAATCTGAATCTGAATCTGAGTGCACTCTGGCCGCACCCATAGGGTGCAGTGCAGGGCAGTGTAGTCTAAGCAGGTTGCCTGCTTTTTCTCGCGCTTTGTTTTCTGAGTCTGAATCTGAATCTGAATCAGGAGTGCAATCTGGCCGTACCCTTCCACTACACTGTTTATTTCTCGCGCTTGTTTTCGAAATCTGAATCTGAATCTGAATCTGAGTGCACTCTGGCCGCACCCTTAGACTACACTGTTTATTTCTCGCGCTTGTTTTCAGAATCTGAATCGACGACCAGATTGTACCCAATTCAATCGGCAATCAAATTGTGTCATGTGGAAGGGGTATAATGGAGCCTTCCTATTGGTCGAAAAGGACTTTATGCAAATTGAAACTCAACTCACTTGGACTTTGCTACGTTTGTTTGTAAAGTCAATTATCAATTTGAAGTAACAGTCGACATTTCTAGAATTCGTATAAAATTATTCTACGGGATAAATATAGATACGGAAATGAATGTGTTGTAATTATAGATGTAAGGTCGGTTTAAAACAAACCAAACCATGCCGTTTAAAACCAAAATTTTGGTTTAAAACGGAATTTTAAGGTTTTAATAGTTAGAAACAGTGTTTTTTTATATGAACTCAACTCAGAATGCGTTACATTATCGAATTCGCCATGCAACGGAAGTACGAAACTATGTATTTTCATGTTTGTTAGATTTTTTACTGATAATTAATATAAGTGAAAAGTATAAAGCAATGACAAAAATGCCGACTCCAGGAGAGACTCGAACATTGCTTTGCTTTTCACTTTACAAAACGCAAAAAGTTAAAAAATAATAATGATTATTACATCATCATCATCACCAGCCTATTAATGTCCCCACTACTGGGGCACAGGCCTTCCCCATGGATGGAATAGGGAGATTGGGCCGTGCTGTGACTCACCTCGCGGGCCCTGTGCGGATTGGTGGCCGGGTGCTAAGGACTGCAGATGTAGCCGGGATCAACGGCTTAACGTGCCTTCCGAAGCACGGAGGAGCTTTTTTTACATTAAATAGGCTTACGCTTGACAGCCACGCGACTGATGAAGAGCGACGTAGCAGCCTACGCGCTTGCCTAGAAGAAATCGATTCACTCGCGACTTGAAGAGCCCCAGATTGTAGGTGACTGGAAACAGAGATTCCAGCAAAGAGTTCCACAACCTAGCTGTTCTGACGATATAGGTATTAACACTCTTTTATGAAATAGGTTCCAGTTGACAATTTTACGTGTATTATTAATATTAATTGATTGTGCTGGGTCATTAATATGCCGCATAATTTTCAGCTTAAATAATAAAGCCTTAGCATAATTTTGGCAAAATGTTAACAGCCTTTTAGCAAATTTTATTTATTGAAATGGGAAAACTTACAGCTATTCATACAAATTCAAAATATTATTTCATACGAAAAGTGCTAAGAGAACAAAATTATTTAAAGTAACCAACAATGTAACAAGTAGTAATATTCTTTTTTACTTGTACATATTTACTTTCAACAAATAAAGCCATTCAAGTAACTAGCTTGTTAAATATTGTACGTTATTTTATGCCTTTACAAACCTAAATACATAACTCTCTTTTGTCTCCGCAGTCGAGTATTACACCGTTTAAAACGGTGACTTTCGAGATTTAAACGGTGCGTTTCAGTTTTAAACGTTTTTAACCGGTTTTTGGTGTTTAGTTGTAATTTAAATCTCACTATTAAAATTTTGTGGACTTTACCAACTTTGATTGTATACCCCTGATATATTACGCGTTTTTATCTTACGCTTTACACGCAATTGCCAAATGAGACGCGATAAAACACGTGATATAATTAAATAGGCTAGTTGACTCATGTCGAATTGTATTAAATAAATGTTTATTTCTTAAAGTATTTTGTCTAAGGAACCTAAATATATCGATTTCACTTCATAAAAGCAGAAGATTGCTGTAGAAATTTAATTTAAAAAAACAATTTTTAGTCTATACTTTTTAAACACTAAAAACGCTGTTCGCCACATCCGCCATGATTGTGACGTCTGTTTTAGTAAACA